CTTTCCTGCTCCTCTGCTGCTGCTTGGCCTGCTGTGTTCATCCAGCTCTACACCTTGTTATCACAAATACCGGAAGTGTTGTTAATATGTGACACCTAATAAATGAGTAAGAATGAAAAAAGACCCCATGAATACCATACAGTAGCCCTTGAGAAAATCTGAAGAGGAGTCTTTTTTGAGCGGTAATTGGGAGGTAGATGTTGACCCAGCTGTAAGTGAATGAAGGGAATTTATTTATTGACATATTTCCATAAACAGGTATTGGATCAAGAGGTTCCTAAAGAGGATCCAATCACATTTCATTTCTTGGCCAAGTTTTACCCTGAAAAAGTAGAAGAAGAACTTGTCCAGGAAATCACGCAGCACCTCTTCTTTCTGCAGGTTGGTGTGCGTAAAATCACATGATTGCTTTTCTCTTGGAAGTTTGTTTTACAAAGAATTTTACCAGAAATGGTTTGGTTACCTGCAATATTAATGCTTAGTTCTTATTAATGATCTGGGGGCTGTATCCATTGATACAGTATTTCTGAGAACTGAACCTTTTCTAAATCTGGTCGGATTTTACAGTTATACATCTGGTTTTGGGATCAAGCACGTTTTTATGTCCTTGAAAATGAGATGTTCAGTGTATATACTAGTGAAATGTATTCAGTTTTTCCACTCAATCAAGGAAGGGCAAATCAAAATCATGAATGTGTGTGTGACTATGCTTTGTTTGGTAAAATTTAAATAGGCTATACAAATAAGAGCAGTCAAGCTGTGAGAGGCCAGTAGAGTGAGAAGGCAGCTGAGATACTGCAGGAGATTGACATTGAAGTCGAGGTGATGAGAAGCTGCAATTTTGTTTAAATTTCAGGGAATGTGGCATCCTAGGTTTTACAAAACCTTTCATGATACAGGACTTTCTGGAAACAGAGTCTCAAGAGCAGTCACGTGTAAAAGAAGAGTTATTCACTGGGCTGACAAGCTCACACATACTAAGCTTGAGGCGTGGCTGGGGGTAAACTGCACTATCCTATTGGAGGAAGTGATTATCTAAAGCAAGAAAGAGTTAAGTGAGAATGAAGGGATACTGGGGAACTCAGTAGTTAGAGGAATAGATGGGTAATTTTAGAATTAAACTTTGTCTTTCAATCAAATTGCTAATAAGAACACATAGTGCCAGAAATATTTGGAAAAGACAAAGATTTAACTGAAAATTATAGTTCTTAGTAGAAGCAATATTTTAAAGCAATTTAGTTATACAAAAGAATTCCATCTGTAAGAAGGTGGATTAAGTAGCAGTACTTCGAAGTGAATCTTGGGTTTACTGCCAGTACCACACATGAATGAATATGATTAAGAAGGCAAATGGATGGCTGAGAGTCTGATGTGGGAAGAATGTGTTCAGATTCCACAGGTTTGGTTTTACTGTAATTTGTATTGATGGGATGGCTTTGAATGGAACAAATTTGGGGCCTATATCTTTGCAAGCTAGTTAACTAGATTTGTGGTGAAGCATTTAACTAATATGTCAAGGGTAAAGGAGAAGACTAAAATGTCAACTTGAAAGACAGAAGAAGTTTTGGATATAGGGTATAGGTTAATAGAATGGCTAAAAATGTTTGAATGCTATCAGGTAATTAAAAAAAATCAAGATCTGGAATATAAAGCTTTTGGGAGGTACATGAAAGGAACAAAATGCTGAAGGGTGGCGATACTAATCATATAATTATCATAAAATTGTAAGTTTTTAAAGAAATAGTTGATTTGATGGGCAATAGGTGATGCGGTCTAAATGGATTTTCAGAAAATATTTGAAAAGTTTTGTCATGGGAAATTTGTTGCACAAAGTCAGGAAAAACCTTAAGATGGAAGGTACCGACATAGATACAAAATTAGTGGATTGACAAGATATAAAATGTTAGAGATAATGACTGTCACTTAAACTCAAACAGGATTGTTAGTTTTGTACCTCACAATTAGTGTTGAGTCTACTTTTGTTCCCTTTGAGGTAGAGATTTTGCTGGAACATAACATCTCAAAGGTGCTGATGGCACAAGTGGAGTTTTGGCAAATATTGAGGAAGACAACAAAAGACTTCAAATAGATTTAAGTTGGCTCAATAGGCCAAGAATTGGTAAATGCAATTAATACATTTGTGGGCCAGGAGAATAAGAAATATGAAATTGGCCTATGCTTACTGCAGAGATGTGGATGGAGAGAGGACCGCAAAAGAATCCAATCTATAGAACAAAAGAAATAGAAGCAGGAGTAGTCAATTGAGCCCCTCAAGCCTGCTTCTCTATATAATACAATTACAGCTGATCCCATCATGGCCTCAACTCCACTTTACTGCCTGTTCCCAATTTTCCTTTCACCCACTACTAATTGAAAATCTGTTAATGTCCTCCTCAAATTTATTCAGTGTCCCATTGGCCACTGCACTCTTGTGTAATGAATTCCAACAATTCACAACATTTTGAGAGAAGTAATTCCTCCTCAACTGTGTTTTAAATCTGCCACCCCTTAGCCTAATATTATGACCTGTCGTTCTAGAATGGAAAGCATCCACTCTGTCTATTTTGTCAATTCCTTTTAGCATCCTGTATATTTCCGTTAGATCTCCTCTCATCCATCTAAACCATGGCAATTACAGACCTAAACTGCTTAATCTGTCCCCCTGAAACAAGCCTTTCATCCCTGGAATTAATCTAGTGAGCTTTTTCTGAACTGTGTCTGATGCAATTACATCCATCATCAAGTAAGGGGACCAAATGCAGCCTTTCAAATGACTTGTACAATTGTAACAACATTTCCCTGCTTTTGTACTCCACTCGTTTAGTAATGAATGCGAAAATTCCATTTGCATTCTGTATTACCTTCTGTAGCTGCATGCTAACTCTCTACAACTTATGTATGATGATATCCAAATCCCTCAGCACCGAAGACTTCTTTAATTTCATGGGTTCTGTGTTCAAGTAACTAAGCATAAAAATTGTGCTTGCATTTTATTATTTGAGGTGAGGGATCGCCGTAGTAAAGAAAATAAAAACAGAGAGTCACAGCTGGCAGGATGCAGTGCTACTGTTGGTGGCAGTGAACAGGTTACATCTCCATCTGTTGATTGCATGCTGGGAATTATGCAGTGCCACAGAGAAGAAATTAATTAATTTTTCAGCTAAAATAGCAAGTAATATGCCTTGAAAGAAGCCTGAAAAGTCACAAATTAAAGGTGCAAATTAATATCTGCAACAAGTAAAGCTTACTTAATTTATGACTGGATTAAAATGATATCTAAGCAAATTAAGAGTAGTGTTCAGATGTTGATGTGTGCCATGGGTTTTCCAATTACTTTTGCAGAGTGAGCTTATTAAACAGAATTATATATTGGGTTTCAGTGACACCTCACTGATTTTTTTTCTCTTCCAGTGCAATTTATGAACCATTTTGTTCCGATACATTTGGCTGACTCGTATAATTAAAATCACTCATGTGATAGTCAAATTATAGATTCTTAATTTGGAACTAATTACTGTTTTCACTTTTGTAGGTTAAGAAGCAGATTTTGGATGAGGAGATTTACTGTTCCCCTGAGGCTTCAGTGTTGTTGGCATCTTATGCAGTTCAAGCTAAGGTTTGTGCAAGATGATAAATTTGGAGGACTCCACTTCTGCATTTGTAAATGCAAAATTTACACCAGCTATCATATTGTTTTTGCTTTTCCTCAAAGAATTGAAGTGACATTTTTCTGTGTCAAGGTGCGATTACATAAGGTGATGAAGTTTCCTAACAGAAAGGCCATGTCCTTACAGTCTTAAATTAGTATTTTCCCCTTTTAATTGGGCGATTAAGCATCTCTGTGTGTAGGGAGGCTATTTTAATTATGGTTATAAAAGGGATATTTTGACTTATTCAGATGACCTAATTTGGATGAGGTCCATAGAGTCAAATGAAGTTCCAGGTGCTATATATCCAAAATAAGACCTGATCATTTGTCTTTGTGTATTGAGAAGTGAGGGAAAGTGCCGCCTTTGTCCTTGGTTGCAACCTGAAACTAAAGGGCTTAATTTGTTTTTGTGCTCCTGTTACTCCTTTCTAAGGTTCATCTTTTCAGGAATCTGGTGCAAATGCACAATAGATGTTTATTGATCTCTTCAATAAACTCAAACCCTATTCCATCTTCCTTTGCCCAGACCTCCCTGACATAGGACCACCTTCTAGGTAGTCAGTCTAATCTTGAGCATTGCCAGTAGAGAATCAACAAGGAGCGGTTTGTTCTTTTGTTTCTGTCTGATTTATTTTGTTTACTGGCTAATGCTGGTGTAGTGCTAATGTCACTGAACTAGTATTCCACAGGTCTGAGCTCATATCCTGGAGACAGACATTCAGATCCCACCGAGCCGCTTTTGTTTTATTTGTTCACAGGATCTGGGTATCTTTGGCTATGCCAGTGTTTATTGGCCATCCCTAATTGCCTTTGAGAAGCTGGAGGTGAGCTGTTCTTCTGAATGGCTGCAGTTCATGTGTATGTACACAAATATGCTGTTAAGGAGGGGATCCCAGAATGGTGGAATTTAAATTCAATTAATGAATAAGTCTGGCTTTGAAAACTATTCCCAGTAATCCTGTTGTGGGTAAATCACCACCAGCTAGCTTTAATTCAGCTACTTGTTAAGAAATCTCAAAGACAATCAAGTACTGAAACAATTATTTAAACTTTATTGCAGGTAACAACCAAAACAAGATCCCTCAAGTAAGCAAGTTAAGCCTCACAACCCAGAGTTAACATTTCAGGGCCAGTGACCCTCCTTCGGAACACAGTTTCTATCCTGACTGTTGCAGCGGGATAATAGTATAGAATGAAGACTCAATTCCTAGTTTTAGATCTCCTTTTTGAGCATTTGGAATGCATTTTCTTCACTTAATGAACTTGTTAATTCCATGTACATGATTGATATTTTGCTGGATTTTATCTAGAATTGGTGAAGATTATGAAAAGCTAGTAATCTTCTCAAATTTATGTGCAGGAGCATGACCAGACTTGATTTTTTCTCCTTGCAGGGTTCAGTGACTTATTGTAGAATCTTGATTAAAAATGTGAGAAAAGGTCAGATTAATGACTGAAATGAAGTCATTGAAACTTTTCTATATGCTCTGATTAAAGATTACACCTTAAATCATTCATCTTGATGATTCAGTTACTCAGTTGAATGTTGCTGAGCTAAATACAGCAATGAGCCTAGTTTGAATTCTTGGTCCATGTTGAATTCATGAGGATGCCTTTACAGCCATTTAAGTTGGTCAGGCAGTTTGAGAGTAATTAAATGGCTAAAACATAGGTTTTCATTGCTGGCTTTGATTCAGTTACCCATAGTAGAAGATGTGAACATCAAGTGAAGCCATGATTGGGAGTCTGAAAATGCCTGATGTCAGAAGTTAAGCAGACTCATACCTGGTTAGTATTTGGATGGGAGACTGCTTGCCAATACCAGATGCAGTAGGCTTGAGCGCTGTTGTGGTGTGTGGTAGTCTTCCTACTTCTGAAACAGTAGTCCCGAGTTCAAGTCCCAACTGTTCCAGAGGTGTGTAATAACATCTCTAAGTAGGTTGATTAGAAAATATATAAAAATACTCTGCCAAATCTCACACTCAGAACATAAGAAATATGAGTAGGCATTGACCATACAGCACATTGAGTCTGTTCTGCCATGAAGACCATGGCTACTTCTGGATTAAATCCATTTTTTCACTCTCTCTCCATATCTCTTATTGCTCAAACATCTTTCAGTATTTGCTTTAATTGTCTTATTTAGTCTCTGTCAAAATCCAGTTGAATATAAGAATATTTTAAGATTTATAATGTGTTTGTGTACTAATATTGAACATATGACATTTATTTATTTCAACAGAAGTGGTAATACTTATATTTATATTTTCTCCTTTACAGTATGGAGACTATGATCCTAATTTTCATAAACCTGGTTTCCTAGCTCAGGATGAACTATTACCTAAAAGAGTAAGTTCTGGAATCTTCTGTTAAGTGCCAAGAAGGATCAGGAAGCCAAATGTTAAACAACAGGAAATTTATTAAAAAGATGTTTACACTACAGGCAGCAAGGTTAGACTAAGATATTTCTGCCAAGGTGGCTGATGATGTCATCTTATGTCACATCATCAGACTCTAAAAGTGACAGTTCACCATACTTGTACATGTACACAACATGTAAATTTAATTCAGAGATAGTTGGAACTGCCGATGCTATACCCGAAACGTCAGCTTTCCTACTCCTTTGATGCTGCTTGGCCTGCTGTGTTCATCCACCTCTACACCTTGTTACGTAAATTTAATTGCAGCTTTTTATTTTTGTTGTGTAATGCTACACAAAAAGTATTATAAATTAAACATAGGGCATTTATGATTTACTTTATCTATTGCAAAGATTCAGTGAAAATTGATTTTCAGTAAGAGATGGAAGATCCAACAGAAATGATGTTGAATGTGAAGGCAGGAATACAAATCTTAACATCATTAGTTCCTGCCTAACAAATTGTCCTAAAGGGACTTCATATCACAAGGAAATCTTGGAGTCTTACAATGGTATAACAAGGATGGATGCCATTCATGTGTATGGCAGTAGCGAAAGTTATTTAAATCAACTCTCATATGTTTTTCCCACTCCACAGTAAATGTTTTCCCTTCAAGTATTTATCCAGTTCAGTGTTAAATATTAATGATGACTCTGCTTCTGTACCTTTTCAGGTAGTGCATTCTATCTCACAATGGTGCCCTATATAAAACATGCTTCCTCTTTCACCTCCATTCTTTTGAAAATATTTTTAGTAACAGTTTATTATTTGATAAAGTACCACCTGAATGGCTGTTATAAAAATTTTAGACAGTGAATATCACAAGCAAATCTGGGATGTTCATCAGAAATTGGCTGAAAGAGAGGAGGAAATGCATATTGTAAAGGTCATGTCTTTTTTCTTTCTTTTTTGAACTGCGGACTAAAAAAGGAAGATATTGTTTTAAATCAGAGAGACTGTGCAAAAAGATGGCTACAGTTTTAAAAATCATGCTGACTGGAACTTGTCATGATTTGTATGCAATGTTGTATTTTTCTCCGAATCGGAGAGAGCAGAAACAGATACCGCTGAGTAAATGAGTTCTGAACGAAGGAATAACTGCTTGACAGCAACATTTTGCTTGGCTCCTGATCAGATGACCATGGCTTGTATGGGGCCAGTGCAGTAGACAACCATCCAACCTGCAAAGAGAAAGCACCACAATATCTCAGTTTCTCCCTCCTATGTGGGGATACCAGAAAATCTCAGTAATAGCTAGCTGTTTCATACTCACTTTTTTCAGCAAATTCCCTGTTTAAGGAGGAATAAAACACTTTAATGCTGCAAAAGGATGAATTCTCAATCAGTAAATGAAAGTGAGCATCTGTGTGCAAATAACCTTGTGTGAGTGCTAAGAACTAGAAGAAGTTGGAAGAAATCGAACGAAACGACTTATCAATTCATGTGGTCCAAGCTGGCCCTACTATGCTTCCCTGATTTATTCTTCATTTTCCATTTTTAATATCCATGTCTTGTCTGACTGTATGTGAGGTGAAAATATAAAAAGGGGTAATATTTAAGCTGCAGAAAATAGAAGTTAGCAGTTCATATTTCCTAATTGCAGTTGGTTAAAGACAATTTGTTTATCATAAACTGTTTTCTTGTTAAGTTCAGAAAGCTGGTGAACATTTTCTTTTAACCTGAGTTCGTCACTCAAAGTAAATTGGGGACTTTGGGTAGATGATAAAAATCTTTTCACATTTATGATCACTCTGGGAATGTTGGAGCTTGATTTGCAGTGCACCACCCCAATGATTTGTGACAATATTAGGAGGTGTTATGTTGAACTGTGAATGGAGTGCATCAGCGCGGGAGACTAAATCTAGTATCATACACTTTCTGATGAACAATATAAGCAAAAACACTCTGCAAAATTATGCTATGCCATTAGCCTTATCGAAGGGGAATGGAGGAAGAGGAGCTTGTGGACAAATATTCATGTGGTCTCCTCTCTTGAACTCCCAGTGCTGACATGTTTACAATTGGGCATTTTTGCCACAACCACACAATTGGGGGCATGAACAGTTTACAACAATTTTATACACTGTACAGTAAACCTGATGCTTAATGACGATTTACTTCTATTTTGCATTTTTTAGGTCCTTAAGCAATATCAAATGACAGCAGATATGTGGGAAGAAAAAATAACAGCTTGGTATGCTGAGCACAGGGGAATCACCAGGTGAGCATTTATTACATTTTTATGTAATCTATACGTTTATTTTATCTTTTGGAGCAACAAAATAAGTGGCATTGAAATAACATTGTTACAAGTCTCATTTAGATAATTCAATAAATGTTATTCTCACATTATTCAAGGTGAATGTAAAATGACTAAAACTCAAATTGTTCTATTCGTGCTTATGGCCATGTTAGTCTGAAAACGTCTGATCCCATCTGATCTGGGAAGCTAAGCAGATTCAGGCCTGATTGTACATGGATGGGAGATTGCCTAGGAATACCAGGTGCAGAAGGCTTCAGAGGTCTTGTTGTTCACTGCTAGTGCTCCTACCTTTGGGCCAGAAGGTTCAGCTTCACGTCTCACCTTCCCTCAGAGGTGTGTCTGAACAGGTTGATTAAAAATTTCTATTATTCTGGGAAGCAAGTGCATCAATTTTCAAAACATGGATAGCCAATAGCAACTGAAATCAACTATTGCAGCTGAGCCTCTGTTCACTTATATTTACAGTGATACATTTGCAAACTATAACTGTCAACTAAAAGCAATCACGCTGATACAAGCACAGATGTATTTCCAATTATTAGCCACTTCTTCAATACAATGAGCATTTGATGGATATACAGTTAACACTAATTACTTATTCCTTTTGTGTACCTTTATATTTTTGCTATCATCATTTTTGACAGAGATGAAGCTGAAATGGAATATTTGAAGATTGCACAAGACCTAGAAATGTATGGAGTAAACTATTTCCCAATCACAGTAAGTATTGGTTGTCATACTAAAATTATAACACAGAGATGAACTTGGGCAAAACTAATTTAAGGACAATCCTAATGCAATCAAGGAACAGGAGGAGTAGGCCAGTTAGCCCCTCAAGCCTGCTCGACCATTCAATAAGATTATGGCTGATCTGAATGCAAACTCCTAATCCAGAGGTGCTGATGAAGTCCTTCCTGATTGGAACTTGTGCCTTCCTAGTCCCAGCTCAGCTAACCCCCACACATGACACAAGGATAATAGGTCGAAGGGCCTCCTATGCTATATCAAACTATGATGGGAGGTGGGGTAAGGCACACAGCACCAGTTTTCAAGTTTGGCCAGCATTTAGTCGAGACCCACAGAAACGCTTGATAATAGTGGTGTAACTTCTTCCAGCAAAAATTCCTAATTGATATCTGTAGAACAAAGGGTATTCATTGATAACTGATGATGACAACATGGGCTAGCAACCGTAGCAATTTTTTCGCATGCCTATTTGTTTCTCCCACCTAGTCGTCCTGAGTTTCGCCTTATACAAGCAAAACCCTCTTTTCTGGATTCAGAATGTAATCTTCTTGCACAATATGTCTGGTTCATTACATTACCCCAAAACACATAGTTGGAGAAATATCAATCCATTAATGTTTGTATGACAGTTAAATGCATTACTCATGATAACTTCAGAAGTTACTCAAGGCTGCATCCATAACCTTATAAATCCATGATGGAATGAGACAATATACTGCCTATATGGAATGAGTACTCCATTCTCTGATTGCCATACAGGGAGAGCAAGGGGATAATGATAGGTTTCCCCTCTATTTGAAGCAACATATCAAAGAAAAGCTGTACACAATATACAACACAAATTGACTTTTAGGGTTATCCAAATGCACATGATCAATTTCTTAGGTCCCATTAATGTACTAGGCTGTAATAAAAACAAGATGCTGCAGAAACTCAGCAGTATTGGTAGAACCAGAGTTAACATTTCAAATCCAATATTGACTCTTCTTCAGAACTTTGGAACTTGAGCAGCTGCACTGGAATTCAAGTTAAAAAAAACTAAAACCTTGTTGAAGAGCATTTTTCAGCTTAAAACAGATTTACTTTAATAATTCACTGAAAGAATTGATCCTTAGAGTTAATTTAGATATGGGAGCATCGAGTTTGCCAAAGTAAAAAGATTTAATGAGAATAAAAGTAAAGCACAGAAGAAATAAAATTGATTGATGAAGATAAAATGATGTGGAGTGTTAAGTAAGATCTTAAACACGAAGTGAAAATGCAACAAGGTAAAATATGAATGAAATAAATACTTAGAAATAACATTATAAAGTAAACAACAAAATGGCACATATATTTTCAAACATGTATCCTGTATTCCAGACTACCGGAACGGGTCAGGCTAGTTTTAATAAGAGAAATGTTATATTTGTGTTTGATTTGAAGATGAAATTGAGAAAAGACATATCATTCAGTTTACCCTTCTTAACTGTTTATCTTGGTATGCAGAATACTCTGTAGTAAAAGATGACGGGTAAGTGTCTTTGTTGGTTAACGCTGTGTCCTCTTTTGTAGCAAAGTGAAGATGTAATTTGTGTGTAATTTGATTTTTGAATTTTTTTTAATGAATAACCTCTCAATTTGGTTGAGAAGAGGAAGCGCCTCAATAACTGACGCAAGTAGAGTTCTGAATCACCATGTCCATCAGAATTGCAGGAAGAAACATCCAGTGGCATTAACAATGCAGAACATTCTGGGGATTACCATTGATCTGAAACTGAACTGGGCTAGCCATTTATATATACTGTGACTTTGAGGGCAGGTGAGGTTTGGGAATCCTGTGGTGAGAACTCATCTCCTGATTCCCTAAGCCTGTCCACTGTCCACTACAAGGCACATGTCAGAGGTGCAATTGAATGGGTTCTCTGCTTGCCTGGGTGAGTGCAACTCCATGAACACTCAAAAAATTCAACAACATTTAGGATGAAGCAGACTGTTTGATAGTCCATCCACAATCTTAAGTATTCATTCACTCCATTGCCTATGCACAGTGGCAGCATGTGTACCATCTATAAAATGCACTGAAGCAACTCACCAAGGCTTCTCTGACAGCACCTTCCAATTCTCATCCATTAACCTCGAGAAATACAGGGAAGCAGATGAATAGGAACATCACCATCTCCAAATTTCCTTCCAAGGCTCGCACTCGAACTATATTGCTGTTCCTTCACCATTGGTCAGTCAATATCCTGGAACTCCCTTCCTAACAGTAATATATGTCTACATGCCAACAATATCAGTGTTTCAAGACAGAAACTCACCACCTTTTCAAGGGCATTTAGAGGTGGGCAATAAACACTGGCCTAGATAGCAATGTCAACATCCTATGAAAGAATTTTAAAAATGACTATTCAGTTGGAAGCTATGTAATATTGTGGGCTCTGGAAATCTGAAGTTAAAACACAAAATGTTTTAAACGTTTGACAAGTCAGGTTGCATCTGTGGAGCGAAATATGGTGTTAATATTTCTGAATTATGTCTTTTCATCTGTCTTGGTGGATATTGGTATCGGAGTTAGTTATCTCTTGGACTGTTTGTGTTCAAGTACTAAATTCCAACATGAAAATAAATGTTCCAATTATAACCATGTTGCTGAACATTTTAAAAGCAAAACAAAAAGGATACAGACTTACTGCTTGGAGTTGATGCACTTGGCCTTCATATCTACATCCCTGATAACAAACTTTCATCTAAGAAGTCATTTGCATGGAGTGGGATCAGAAACATTTCCTACAGTGAGAAAGAGGTAGGTACACGTTCAAGATCCTTTATGTTTATCAAAAATCTGCATGCTAAAATTCCATTTAATATGCAATTCATATTTGTGTTATGACGTTCCTGCTCTGTTTGGATTTAAGTCATATTGAATAAATCATTGCATGTTACTGTTAACTTTAAGTAACCTTTTTGGAATTGTTTTTGTGAAAATTCTGAGTGCTTTTCTCAGGCACAATTGGGATTTGTACTTTATTCTGCATAGACCAAGAAGTACGTCTTTGTTTTGTGCCTAAGTAGGATTTTGTTTGATTTATGGCTTATTGTGGTTATTGCTTATACGTAATATGGAGCAACGTTGTGGTATTTGGCTTCTGATGATCTATTTGTTTCAGGCAATTTCTTTAGGGTGTGGAACAAAAGGTGTGATCCTCTGTTCAGAATAAACATAGGTTTATTTGTGAAGATTGAGAAGGGAAACAAACACAAAATAATGGAGCTTCCTGTTAACCGTTATCTGGTCCTGTCTTATATTTTGCTTCTCTCCATGACAAATTAAGTGATTTGACCTGCAATGTTTTTAGTTAAAAATGGCATTTAAAATTTGTCCTTGCAGCTTAACATGGAAGCCCTAAGCCCTGTTTTGAATGCAGTTAAATATGAAATTTAATTTCCATTTCCAAGAAAGCTGTGAAACAGCATAAGTAACTGAGGTTA